CATATTGCAGTTGAATAGGTGTAATTTATACTATTATTTAGAGACATGAAATTATAGTTAACTATTTGATTAAATTAGGAGCTGATCATAATTTGTATAATTTTAGAAATCAAACTGCATTTGCATCATCTAGATCCACTAAAATTAAAGTACTTAAGCAAACATTATTGCAGACAGAAAAAAATCTAATTAAAAGCGGTTACAAATATGTATTGGTTGGAACAAATATGAGTTCAAATTTAGTGAAATAATAGCTTAAAAATATAAAAGAGAAAGTAACCGTTGGAAAATTCAAAGCAGTTCCATTAAAATCATATAACGAAACAAGCTTTTATTATATTATAAAAGTTTAAAATGAATTAAAAAATGAAGTTGCTCATTAAGAGAAAATGATGATATATAATTTTACAAAGGGAATTATTTGTCCTTTTAATAAAGATAAAGCAAATAGATATGAAAATTTTCATCATTATCATGATCAATAAATAATTTTAGCTTTATTATATGATGAATTCAATTTAGATTAATTTATTCATGATAAATTACTATTAGATCATTTTCCATTACATGATGAAGAAGAAAAGTTATTATTGTATAAGTAATGGAAATGTGAGAAAGTAAATCTATTGAGAGAGCCTTTATCATTTTCTTAGAATAGATGTAGAACACCAAGTGCAATTAAAGCATATTTTGGGTCAGAAGTTGGGTTTTTCTTTGTTTTTTTAAGTTTTTTTACAACTTGGTTATTTTTACCTGCTGTTCCAGGTATTCTATTAGGAGTCTATGTATATGCAACAAATAATTTTGATACTTTATTTGTCCCTATTTATACAATAGCTTTAGCTGTTTGGGCGACAATATTTTTTGAATTTTGGAAGAGAAAATAAAGTGAAACTATGTTTCAATTCGATATGCATGTGGAAACTGAATAGAAGAAAAAAATATAATCATTTAAAGGTTAATTTTGGATAGATGATGTAACACATTAAATTGAAATATAATATTCAAAACGAGATAGATGGAAATATTATAAAACAGCATGTCCATTAGTATTTTTGGCTATTTTTATGATTACAAGTGAATAAATTGGTTACTAATATATTATTCAACTATAAGAAAGAACTACTAATTTTACAATAGTTTGTTCTATTGTTTTGGGTGTATCTATTAAAATTACAAATGAAATTTTTAATTACTTTGCTAAATTGTCATTAAAATATGAAAATCATTAATATTAAAATGAATTAGAAGATATCTATATTATTAAAGTATTTTCATTTGCTTTCTTGAATTCATTTGTTAGACTTTTTTATAAATCCATAATTAATCCAGATGCTGATGAACTCAATATAATGTCAATTACTTTTACAATTGTTTGGGCAATTTTGCATTTAATCAAATTTACAATTGTCCCTTTTATTTAATTTAAAATAAGAAGTTATTTTCTTAATCGTGATTATGAAAAATATATGTTAACAAGATGGAAAAAGATGTACGTTTCATAAATAGCAAGTGTCTTAGATAATAATAATAATGAATTTTAAGTAAATAAGAGTTTTGATAGAAGTAGTATGAGTGGCAAAAGATTTCTTAAATCAGTAGAATAAAATAGAATTATGATGCCAACACCAAATCATGTTGATCAATTCACATATTTTGTAATTTTATCAACTCTATCCTTAAGATTATACAATTCTGTATGGTTACTATGTTCAGTGCTAGTTCTCAATTGATTCCAGTCGCAATTTTATTGTTTAATATATTCTCAATCGATAATCTTCTATATGGTTATGTAACATTTGTAAAGAGACCAATAGCAGAAGCCAAAAGATCAATTGGTTTATGGAATGATATTCTATTAATTGTTGGATATATTGGAACTGTTATCAATTGTTTAACTATATATTAGGCTAATTAAGATTAATTAAATAATTTAATTGGAAGTTATGATAAATAAACTGATGATGATACTGTATATCTTTAATTATATTTTAGTTAGCACTTCGAAATTTTCTATTATTGATTGCTGCTGAACATATAGTAATTGGTTTAAAGTTTCTCATTGAATAAGTAATACCAGATGAGCCTATTTGGGTTACTAAAATGATGAAAAGATAAGAATATTTATATGAATAAATGTTAAGCCAAACTCATTAAGATAGTTTTTCATCTCAAGAACTCAAACATGATTGATTAATTTTCTTATATTAATTAAATCTACATTTTTCATTTTTATAAAATACATATTAAAATATATTAAAGAATTTCAATTTTTAAAAAGACATTAAAACAAATAAGCCTCAAAAATAAAATCTCCCATCCATAATATTCATCAATGGTTTATTCATTTAGCAATCACATTAAAGTATTTTCTATTGAAAAAATAAGTTAGGTCTAAACATTAATTTTTTTTTTTATTAGAACTTTAAAAGAGATACATAACTATAAACTATTTTAATGGAAAATATTAAATAATAAGAAAACACAAAGTTTCATACTTATTTACAGATTTATATCGTGAGGAATGATAAATTTATCATTTTACATTTACAGCAATATAATATGAGTATGATTTTGCATTTGAAATGCTTTGAGAATATAAAATTTCTTAAAAAATCTTAAAAGGGGTTTTTCTAGGTTAGGTCAAATGAAGTTTGAGCCACTTATAATTTATTGATATTATTTTTTAAGTTAAATATATCCATCATTTTTAGTGATGAAAGTTCAACTAATAACAAACTTATTTAATTGCAAAAATCTTAACGATAACTGACGAAAACAATTTATATTAATGAGCTAGATTTTTTAAATACAAATGATAAAATCGTATTAAATACAAAAAATCTATATTTTAAATTAGTAAACATATAGTAATTGAGATTGACAATGAATTTTAAAGTTGTTGATTTTTGATGGAAACCTTACTTATCTATAAAAAATAAATAAACTTTAATTATAGATTTAGATGAAACATTAATCTTTAAAAAGAAGTAATTATGTATATTTAATGATAGACCATTAGTAAATTAGTTTTTGAAGGAAATGTCAAAATATTACGAAATACTTATTTTTACTAGTAACATAGGAAGATTATGCAGATTTCATATTGGATCAAATAGATAAAGAAAATATAATAGGATATAGATTATATTGTTAATACAAAAATGATACATATAGTTTAAATATTGATAAGATTCATCGAGATCTATAGAAGACTATAATTATTGATGATTTAAGCAAGAAGTTTAAGTTTCAGCCAGATGAAATTTAGATAACATGTTAGTATCCAGATTTGGATGAATAGCTTTGCTTTTTCTTTATCCTTTATTTGATATAAATAATAGGAAAAAAGATTCAAGATTTAAGTTTAGTTTCAAGAAAGTTTAATTATTAATTGTAAATTATCACCATCAAAGATATTAATTCAGATTTTCAGCTTTGCTTAATATTTGATTGATTAGGTTTGAAGAGAAAGTTGTGATTATTTACATAATTGTAAATGATTTGAGAAATATAAAAAAGATGAAAAGTAGTTCGAAATTTAATGAATTAATAATAATAAATGTGTAATTTTTATAATCCAAAAAGTTTAAATAATAAATTGATGTGTGTTTCTCTTTTGAGTGAAAATAAGATATGGATATATGAAAGATTGTGTATTTATGATGAGTGAGATTTAAATGATAAGAAAATAGTGAAGATAAGATAGCAAGGAAGATGAGTAAGTTGTCAGTTATGAAAGGGGAATAAATATCAATATTTATAAAACTCTAATTAAAAGCATAAATTATTAAATAAAATAATTAAGAATTAGATAAGCATGATTAGATCTTTTAAGTAATATACATAAGAGACTAACAAAAGATTATTGAGTCCTTTATAGAGTAGTCATTTTGGATATAGTCCAGAGCCAAATTTAATTTCAAAACCTTAAACACATATAGTGAGGAAATCAAGTCTTATAGATTTAAGGTAGTTTGACGAGAAAAGATTTCAACTACCTAAATAAAAAGAGAACAAAATAATAAAGAAACCTGTTACTTCAGATCCAATGTCAAGTAAGAAGATATTACAGATAGTAAAGGAGGCTTAATAATAATTGTATTCATCTCAATAGCCAAGAACATAATAATTATAAACGTAGCAATAAAAACAAATAAGAGCTATTACTTTGGAGAATTAAATCGAGGGATTAAATTTTACTTTTGCTTAAAATTTCTCGAATAAAAAAGAAATTATGAAAGAGTTTTCAGCTCACAGTTTAAAAAAAAAATTCTTTGCTTGATTTTTATCTATGATATAACAATAACATTTATTTACTAATTTATTTATTAATAATAATCAATCTTTTCTAAGAGGCTTAATAATTCTTTCTGTTCCAGCAGGTGTAATAATAAAGATTTCAACATTATCTCCTGTATGAATATCTCTTTCAGCTGCACAACTGAAACAATCTAAAATAATATCTAAAATTTCTTCTTTTGTTTAAGGAATAGTTTTATTAATTTTGTTATATCCTTTTAATTGATTATCTAATACAGCAACAACCAATTCTTAACCACTTCCTTAAACTCCATATGTCATTTTATCATAACTACCAATAGCATCATATCCATAAACATATCCATGATTGTTTTCATCTAAACCAGCTAATAAGTTAAATGTGTAATATGGGAAGAATCTTCTTGAATATAATTCTCTTGATAATAAATGAGCAACAGTTTCTGTAGATGCCTTTTTATATTATATTGTTTCTTACTTAAACTTCATTCTAAAATTCATACAATTATAATCTTTGTTAAAGAAATTTTCTCAATGCAATAAAATCTGCATATTGGCCTGCTGTGGCTAAAACACATTTATCCGTCAATTAAGCCAATTTTGTAGCTTCTCTAGATAATATATTATATCCATTGCTCAATCTTGTATCTCCTGCTACAATTACTGCTCCTGGAATTCCCACAGCTTTTTTATTAATTTATTTGCCTTTACCTAATACAGTCCCTGAATTATCATAATATGGACTCCATTAATCACTCTTATTTGTAATATTTCCCATTGTTGGAACTTCTTACTTAAAATGTTTTAACATCTCATTCACGGGGATATACATTTTTAAAATTAATGAATAACAATAATACTAATCTAGCTAAGAATTTATGGATCGAATGGTAATTGTTTAAAAAAAATGAATCCACCAATCCTACTTTATAAATTAAAAAATAAGGCATCATGACCAAAACTGATTAATATGCTGAATTCACTTATAGACCTAATGCAACAAGTCCTCCATCTATGTAAGAATTTTATGAATCTGTTATCAATGGAATCATTAAGAGATTTTAATTAGGTCTCTATTAAGGTGAGTATCCCTACTATAATGAATTATAAAGTTGTCTCCATGAATTTATCAGACTTATGAACTTTAAATCAGAAATCTTGGTTGAAGTCTTTTAATCTATTACAAATCTTAATTTAAGCAAAGAAACTTTTCCTAATGTTGTCGTTCCTTGTGCATCCTGTGGTATGTTCATCTATATAGTACAACATTGTAACAATTGTTACTCTGCATTTTATTGTGATAAAACTTGTTTAAAAAATGGCAAACAAAAACATGAATCTGAATGTTAATAAGCTAAGATTACTCCTTCAATAATTTATCCTTTATAAGTGGAAATTCATTGTGGTGGTTCATTAGGAGATGATGTCAAAATTTATTTTTAACATGAAAGAAAATTATCTTTATTGTATAGAGGCTAGAAGTTTTTGAATTCTATGTACAAAATTTTACTCAAAAACCGTTGGCTAAAGAATAATGGTTATAATATTGTTGAAAATGAAACTTCTATATAATTATAAAGTACAAAGAAAATAGATATGAAACCTTCTGAAGATTAAGGTGATCCAAATTACTCAGATGAAGACTTATATTTAAAAATGCCTTGTGTTTAAGAAATTAAAGTGATATTCCTAAATTAAGGAGCAATCTTACAAGATATTATCAAAGAAACCTACAATTTATAAACAAATTTTATTCATATTTATTATTTTCCTATTTGAAATAATTTATAAAAAATTAATTATTTTTCATAAATCCTTTAATCCTTTTTTTAGATTATTCAAACCTCATTTAATTTTTTATTTATTATTTTTACGATTCATCAAATAATCCTAATCCTTAATAATATGATTTATCTAATTCTTAGCAAAATTTCAAAATTGATTCTTCATAAACAAATTATTCCTTAATCTCAGTTCTTTTATTATAGGTTTAGCTATAAAATCTGAAAGAACTAATTAAAAAACTTCATATTAATAATAATTTAAAAACCATTGATATCTGTTTCTTGAGGAATCCTTTCTTTCATAATAATAATAATAATAATAATAATTTAGCTAGTAAATTAATAATTTTAATAGTTCTATTATTGGCATTTTTACTATTGATTTTTTACATTATCTTATCAATGATTTGAATACTGTAATAAGATGTTGTTATATACACATTTTTATAAATCATTTAAGAATTAGATTAATTTTGTTCCCCTTATACTCATATTCTGAGAACACTGAAATTACCTTCAATGCCTCATATATATCCACCATTGTAATTTAAATGCTGTACTATTCCAATTTAATTTCTAAAAAGTATAACTGATTATTACCTTAAATTTTACCAACAAGCTTTACCATGTCTTGAATATCAAGGAGATCACTGATTCCAGAGAAAACTAGAACTTTGCTAAGAGGAACAATTTTGAATTTGGTTTGGCTACCAACATAATATTCTTCATTAGGAGTTGATGTTTCAAGGTTATCAATCTAATGAAATAATATTCTTATCTAAGAATAATAGAGTTATACAGTACTTCTCTATTGAAAAACATCATATTATTGAGGAGTTCTTTTGCAATAGTAGCATGATCAATATTAGCAAATTATAAGATAGCTGAATTATCTTTCTTTATCAATAATAATGAATTCAAATGTCCAAATCTATTAAACATGTTATAAAGCATTTTGGAAGTGACTCTCTCATCTATATTTTATATTTTCAAATATTTTGATGGTTTTTAAGCCAGTAATTCATTAATGACTTATTATTATTCATCAAATTAATTAAGATTGGATCGTGCTACTTCATTTGCATAATCTTCATCTAATATACGTTCCAATTATTTTAATTGTGTTTCCATACTTTAAATTAATTATAATTTTATACATTGCTTTGGTTGGAGATTCTTCCGAAGCATTAGACACATCAACAGCTTCTAATTTTATCACTTAAGTTAAATCAATTAGAGGTGGTTTTATTTCTTCTGCTATCGAAATTGGGGCTTTTTGAATATTTTAGTCTTGTCTTTAAGGTTAAGGTTGTGTCTCTACTTCATGAGTTTAATATTGAGTGCCTCGAGTATGATCAACCACTTCGAGATTCAGCTACTTTAAACGAGAAAAATGGATAAGAAGCCTATTAATGGTTCTTAAACTTATATATACCTTCCTCCCTAAGTAGTAATTGATTTACCCATCATATCTCTTCTAGCTTAGATCGCGTGTTTTATGTCATAATATTCAATGAATGCTTTATTAGTTTTTCCTCTCTCAAATATTAGTATTTTCTTTATCTCTCCGTATTATTTGAAAGTCTCAAACAAGTAATCATTTGTAAGAGGGAAAGAAGGAGGTAAATAAGTTATGATAAGTAACAAAATTTTACTGGGTGGGTCTCTTGAATTCATTTTCTAAATTAATCAATTTAACATTTTCATTTATCATAATTATTCTAAAGGCTTGATCATTTACATTAATATTTAACAGAATTCATAAACCCCATCAACTTTATATTAATAATATTTATGAAAATTTTGGAAAAGGTAATCATAAAGTAACCAGAAAAAATGAAAATTTTCAAAAAGTAATATCAAAATTCTATTTTATTATTTTATAAGATTTATCTTGTTCAAACTTTAAACATATTAATTCAATACATTACTAATATTTATAAATCTTTAAACTCAAATTAATGCCATTCAAAATTGTGCTTAGTTCAAAAGAATATTAAAATGTTATCTACAATAACATTCAAATGATTCTAATCCCTGCATATTATTGATATATATTCAGTTTTTATCTTTTGAATAATTTTGAAGCTTTTATTTATATTATTTCTTTTGCATTTTGTTCTTTATTACAATTCTACAGTTGTCTTCCATTTCTATAAATTAAGTTTTCATTTATTTTTTTTAATTTTACCTTAGTTAACTTTATAAGTTCTAGCAAGTGATTCTTTAACTATTCATTTATTATTATAATTCAGATATGAACTGAACAAATTTTGAACATAACCTTTTGATAGATTCTGAAAATAAATTTTACTTTAATAAGGATAAACACATAATAATTGGTCATAATTTCATCTATATAAATGGAAGAATAAACATTTTTTTTATTATTAATAAACATATAAAAATTGTTCAAAATTTGATCTAATGTGAATAGGTTGCTTTTTTAAGTTGATGCCTTTTATACTACAAAATAATTTTATCCTTATTATATTATGGATAATAAGATTTCAGATCACATGCTTATTCAAACTTAATGTGAAACTATTCCTCATTTAATGGACTATTGTTTTCGTTGTATTATCGATAAGTATCTGTTCGATATTTAAAATCATGTTTCTAGGTGTCATGTTTTGTATCTTCTCTTATTTTTTGGCTGTCAGTTCTCAATGAAATAGTATATCTTTAGCTTTTTGATCTACTTTACAAGGACAATTATTTGGAAGCATAAGAGGCTTCTTTTAGATGATTATTGTTATTTTTTTCTGTCTCATTAATCTCACTTACAGAGGGAATTGCTTGTAAAGGATTTTTGATAGATTTTGTATTGGAATAACTTGTCCCAATCTGAGATTTCTTTTTTCTTTCTGAAGTAATTTGTAAACTGTCTTCATTTCTCTAAAAGAATTGCTTTTCATCTTATTATAGTAAAGAAGGTGAAGCATTGGGCACTGGAGGTATTCCCATGCTACTTTATGGCATAATTCCACTACTTGATTAACTGCTAGATTTATGTTATAATTGTTAGGATAAATGTTATGGTTATTGTTGGCGTTGACCAATTGAGTGATTTGAATATTTATCAGAATCTTATTATTTTGAAATCTTTCTTTTAGGATATTCTTTTAGAAACACATTGAATGAACTCTAAGATAATTATGAACTTGGTATTTATTATACCTTGACAGGAATACCACTCATTTTATCAATTAGGGAATCATTTGATTTGATACCAGATATAGACTTTTAAAATTTAGAATCTTCTTCAGAGTGAACACTTAGAGAATTCAATGAACGCGAGCGTTTTCTAAATCTTACATTCTTGGGTTGTTGATTATGTTGTTAAGATAATGGTTAAGACGATTTATGTGTTTAAGTGTGTTCTTAATATCTAAATTCTTAAGTCATTCTGGTTTAATAAGTTCTCTCTATTTAACTAGCATCTGGTTCTTCTTCATCAGATGAAAATGAAAAATTTTTTTCTTGAAATAATGAGACAGCATCTTCAAATAATCTTTAACCAAATTTGGCATTAGCTGTTCTTCTGTTATTTCTTTAGAATTTTGATCGTTTATTGGGTATAGAAAATAAATGTTTAGCAATGAGCATTTTCTTATTTAATATGAGATGTAGCTTATTACATTAATCTATTTCATGTTCATTTTGTCCACAACCAATGCATTTAACTCCTAAATCGAGTTTCTGATTCTAGAATGTCCATTGATCAATTATCATCCTATATGTTTGCTAAATAAATGAATTAATTACATAATCAGCTGGATGTGATTGAAGGATGTCTAAAAACATTTATTTTGATAAATAAGCAAAAGAACACGCAGAATCTGTCTTAACACTATATGAATGTAAAGTATTCATAAAGAAAGGTCCATGACCAAAAATATCCCCTTTCTTCATCTTACCTATATAATACTTTCTGTCTTAAAGATCTACAAACATATGAGCATCTCCACTTACTAATTAATATAAAGCAATTCCTTCGTGAGTTCCACCTTCAATCACATAAGAGTTTGGTGCTACTCTGTATTCCTAAACATTTTTAGTTAATTCCAATAAGCATTCCTAACTAAAGAATCTATAAAATAAATGAATATTTGTTATGAATTAACCATACAAACATATTTAAATTTCTTCTTTTAATGTTGGACTTAAACAATTAATGATCTTATTTTCATCCACTATTCTGAATTTATCCTCCTAAGTCCATAAATTTTATAAATATTGTCTCACTCTAAATTACAAAGATTAATCAAAATTTTTGCGTTGCATGTATCTATTTATAATTGCCATATTTTCATTGATTTTTTCATCAAATTTATTCATCTCAGCAATAATCATTCCTATTGTATTTATTGAATATGCAAACACAACACTTGCTATAAACATTGTACAAACACAAAATAATGCTTCTTCATAATTTGCTGGAGTCAAATCTCCATATCCTACTGTTGTCATTGTCATTACTGACCAATATANCTTGGGTTGTTGATTATGTTGTTAAGATAATGGTTAAGACGATTTATGTGTTTAAGTGTGTTCTTAATATCTAAATTCTTAAGTCATTCTGGTTTAATAAGTTCTCTCTATTTAACTAGCATCTGGTTCTTCTTCATCAGATGAAAATGAAAAATTTTTTTCTTGAAATAATGAGACAGCATCTTCAAATAATCTTTAACCAAATTTGGCATTAGCTGTTCTTCTGTTATTTCTTTAGAATTTTGATCGTTTATTGGGTATAGAAAATAAATGTTTAGCAATGAGCATTTTCTTATTTAATATGAGATGTAGCTTATTACATTAATCTATTTCATGTTCATTTTGTCCACAACCAATGCATTTAACTCCTAAATCGAGTTTCTGATTCTAGAATGTCCATTGATCAATTATCATCCTATATGTTTGCTAAATAAATGAATTAATTACATAATCAGCTGGATGTGATTGAAGGATGTCTAAAAACATTTATTTTGATAAATAAGCAAAAGAACACGCAGAATCTGTCTTAACACTATATGAATGTAAAGTATTCATAAAGAAAGGTCCATGACCAAAAATATCCCCTTTCTTCATCTTACCTATATAATACTTTCTGTCTTAAAGATCTACAAACATATGAGCATCTCCACTTACTAATTAATATAAAGCAATTCCTTCGTGAGTTCCACCTTCAATCACATAAGAGTTTGGTGCTACTCTGTATTCCTAAACATTTTTAGTTAATTCCAATAAGCATTCCTAACTAAAGAATCTATAAAATAAATGAATATTTGTTATGAATTAACCATACAAACATATTTAAATTTCTTCTTTTAATGTTGGACTTAAACAATTAATGATCTTATTTTCATCCACTATTCTGAATTTATCCTCCTAAGTCCATAAATTTTATAAATATTGTCTCACTCTAAATTACAAAGATTAATCAAAATTTTTGCGTTGCATGTATCTATTTATAATTGCCATATTTTCATTGATTTTTTCATCAAATTTATTCATCTCAGCAATAATCATTCCTATTGTATTTATTGAATATGCAAACACAACACTTGCTATAAACATTGTACAAACACAAAATAATGCTTCTTCATAATTTGCTGGAGTCAAATCTCCATATCCTACTGTTGTCATTGTCATTACTGACCAATATATTGAATAACTATATAGGGCAAACCAAGAATCTTCTATTATTCCTGCTTTATTTATCCAATTATTATTATTTTTTTAACCCACTAAATACCAAAGACATCCAAATACATGTGCATATAGAAATACTGTGCCAATTACACTTAAAAATCGATATGCTATCACAAATCTAGGATTGCTCAATAATCTGCCCTCCAAAGAATGATATACTCTGTTTAAAGCATTTGATCTTATAAATGATAAACAATTCACTATCTTGATTATGACATTGTCATTCTCAAATGATTGAATTAGTATAATATTAATCAATATTGGCAGTATAGATATTAAATCTACAAAAAAATAAGTTTTTAAATATCTTCTTGCAACTCTTTAATATTTGGTCACTACTTCTCCATTTTCATAATATCCTGTCCTAAATCCTAAAAAAATATCTATTAAATAATAAATAAACATAATTATTAATATGTTTTAAGAATTTTCTTTATCAGCTACAAAATACCAATTTAAAACATTCAAATCAAAACATATCTGTATTGATAATTAAAATAATGATGATAGAGTTATAATGAATTTTAGCAATTCCCAAAAGAACAGAAAATTTCCTTAAGGATCTATTGTACCATTTTTGATTTTATTTAATATCGTTTATAATTTACAAATACTAAAGTATGATTTTAATGCTATAAATGCTTAAAGACTATTCGTTCTTCTGAGTTTCTTTTTAGATTTTACATAATCATGTACTTTAATGTAACTTTAATTCATATATTTTTCATTTTTGTTACTTATATCAGAACTTAAGTCTTAAATTATTTGCATTTGTTGTTTGTTAACCTTTCTTGAAAATGGAGACAACAATTTCATTTTTGAGATGAATTTTTTAGCCAAATGCATTCTATTTGTAATTTTCGAGAAAATTTTTGAAAAATGTTTACTTTTTCTTTTTGGTGATTTTGATGATTAAACAACTGGACTAATAACAGTCTTACTTTTTCTATGTTCTTCAGTATCTCCTAACTTTTTAAGTTCTAAATTAGGACTATCATATGGTATTAATTCATCTCTTAGTGATTGCTTTAAAGGTGAGTCTTCAGATTAATCTGCGCTGTTCCTACGAACCTAATGCGATACTTTGCTTCCAATACTTTTATTATCTTTTTATTATTAATCTGGAACTGTCTTATGTTATTTAATTTTATCAATTTTAAGTCCCTCAAAATCAACGAATGCTAAAATTTGATCTTCATTAGGACGTCTAACTTGCATCAAATTTTAATTATTCAACTCAGTCACATAATGATCAAGTCCATTTTAATGACTGTCCCCTGAAATATTTATTGAGCCTGAACTCACAGCTTGTAAATTCATGATTATAAATGAAATGTAAATTATAAATTCAAGTTAATATGACAATTAATTTTATCATAATTTCCAGTTCATTGTAAATTTGAATCATGACATTATGAAGATGACATTTTCTTAAATTGATATTTTTAAAATTGTATACTAGATATTTGTAATTTATTTTTATTTTCAATAAGTCTTTAACATTATAAATAATAAATTTAAAAAAATTCAATTAGTAAAATAGGTTTGAAGAAAAGAACAAATAGCTTGAAAAGTAATAAAAATAATGAACTTAGAAAAGAGTTTTTTAGAAGTGAGTAAATTTCAAGAGTAAAAATAACAATAATTAATGATTTCATCTATCATAATTTTTCTAGATTAAATAAAAGTTCTAAAAAAAATCCCATAGATATAGATGAAATTTTTATCCAAAATAATATGAATTTAAATACTTTAAAATATATTGTGGGATAAGAAACTTATTCTTCATAAAAAAATCGAGGAAAAAGAGAATTGACCATATTAATTTATTTATTTATATATGGATACAACTGCAGTGCATCATCCTGCTTAGAAAGAGATATCTCAATAAAAATTGATTACAATATAAGGTACATCTTCTCTACCCACTGAACATATTTATAGAGTAAGGAAACAATTGCATCCACAAACTACTGGCAATTAACTTCATTTGAATAAGACTTAAAATTCTTTAATCAACAGTGTCAATATCGATTGTTTTTTGTGCAATAAAAATACTTCAATGTAAACAAGCAGGTATTGTGGATGTTCAGATCGACAATTTCATTTAAATTGTTTATTAAACCATATAAATCAAGGTTTTAAATAAGGAAATGGCATAATGTAATGTTCATATTGCAATCTTTATTATCCTACTGAAGTTGAATCTAAGTAGTCACTATTATTATAATTTATTTAGATTGTCATTATTAAATTTGTCTAAAACTGAGCGAGTGAAATATTTTGTTGTGTTTTTTATTCTTCTTACAATAATAGTATTAGAAATTTTGATCACTTTTTTTCTAGATTTAAATACGATTTTATATTTTCTATTTGCATTATTATGGACTAGTGAATTATTAATTTTCTTACTTTTAATAAGAAGAATATTCATATTAGCAAATTTAGTTAAATTTTCATTCAAAGAATATAGGTTTGGTGATGAGATAATATAATTTATTTATGCTCAAAATTCATTTAAAATAATTTAAGCTCTTTAGTTTGATAAAGCTAAAAAATTATGTTTGAATTGATATTCATGTATTATTTATAAACCAAATGTATTATTATAATTAAAAAAATGGAAATATTAAATGAATTGTTTAAGAAGAAACCTAAAAAGTATTAAGAAACTAATGAAAGAGAATATACAGATTTAAGTGATATATAAATGATGATCTAATATACTTAAAGAAGATAAGGATTAGGATTTGATGAGATAGATAAAAGAGGGAAATTTGAATAACCTTTTGTGAAGAAATTGAAAAAGGATCAGATAATAAAAAAACAGGAAAAGTAATAGAATAAGGAAGAACCTAAGTTGAAAGAAGAGATTGGTAAGAAGGTAGAAAACAAGATAAGTAAGAACACAATAAAAATAAAAAAGAAATAATTTGTAATAATGTGAATATAATTTTGCGGGTGTATTTAATTTATGATAAATTTACATAAAAAGTAAAAAATTTTTAATTTGTGATTTTTTATGGCTGAATATTCAAACTTGACCTAAGAGTAATTGTTTTAGATGCTTACATTTGTTCTGTCTGGTGATAATGAAAAGATCAAAGAGGCTACACGTGTTTTAAAAGTTTACACAAAGTCTGTGAATTGTGTAGGACCATTGGCATTAATAATATCTTAAAATGAAAATGTATTTATGATAGTTTAAAGGAATAGTAACAATTTCGACATTTAGCAGGAGTATTATTAAAGAGAAATATGGCTACAAATTATGATAAATTGGAAGCAACAGCTTAAACTTAATTAAAGTAATTGTTATTGGAAAGATTCTTTGGAGAACCAATAAACCCAATTCGAACAAGTATTGGATCATTAATAGGAACAATTGCAATTTAGACATTAGGAGATAATAAATGGCCAGAATTATTTTAAGTTCTTTAGAATTAGACATCAAAGAATCAAGACATTGTTACTAGATAAAGAGGATTGATGTTATTATCATTGATCTTTGATTACTCTGGAGATAGTTTGAAACCATTTTATTCTGTTTTTTATCCATTCTTTATTGAAAATCTACAAGATAATGATAAATAAATTAGAGTGTAAACAGTAAAATGTTTAATATCATTATTCGATAACATTGAGCATATGAATAAATAAGAAGTAATTCATTTTTAAAATTTTAGGCCTAATAATATAAGACTCTAGTTGAACCTATTTTAAGATTCGTAGATTAATGTATAAAAGAAGGAGACGAAGATAATGCATATCATTGTTTTGATGCTTTTGGATATTTGGCTGAAAGTAAATTGACAATATTAGATACTCATTTGGGTATGATTGTAGAATATGCAGCTAGTTAAAATGTAAGAATTTATAATTAATTAATTAGCTTTTATTGAATCCAAAATGCAGTAGTAAATTTAAGGAATGTGTTTTGGATTTGATTGATAATGTGGTAGAATAACATAAGAAGGTTTTAAATAAGAATCCAGCATTATTAAAACAATTAATTGAATGTTTATCATTGGTGATTGCCTAACCCTACACAGAGGAGGAATTGACTCAAGATGAAGAGCCACTATAAGATGTTACCTTATGGTTATTGGAAACATTGGTTATAGGTTTAGGTAAGAAAAAGACATTATTTGGTTTATTTTTGGAAACCATTATAAAATTGATAGATTCAGGAGATGTTAATCAAATGAATGCAGGATTTTTAATATTAGCAGCAATTACAGAAGGATTGTAAGATTAAATTAGAAGATCTCTTTAGAATCCAATAATGAATGTCATTATACCAAAAGGATTAAAAGATGAAAGAACAGCAGTTAGAGGAGCAACAATTAAATGTTTATCATATTTCAGTGAATGGTTGTGTCCAGAGATCTTAAGTTATGATCAAATTGTAATCCCAGAGATGATCAATTGTCTTAAAGCATAAGACCATAAGATTTATGAAAAGGCTCTATTAACTATTGATATCTTTGCTGAAAATATGGAATCAGAAAAAATTCTTCCATATATGTAGACTCTTCTTCCAAATTTAGTTTAGTTGTTTTTGCAATCTACAACAACATTTATTGCTAGAAGACATTGTCTTTCTTCAATTGGAAGCATTATAGTTTCATCTAAAGATGCTTTTGGCACATATTTAAAGGATGTTAGTGAATTGTTATTACAAGTCTTGAAGGAAAAAGATACTCCAGAAATTATGAGTATTAAATCAGAAGCCATTTAAGTTTTTGGAACTATTGCTGAATCATTCAAATCTAATGTAGAAGTTTAAACCTAATTAATTACTCCATTAGCTCCATAAATATTTGAATTATTAACCAAACATGATGACTTTGAAATTAGAGAAGCATGTTTAGCCTTCTTTTATAATATGGCTGCTGCTTAAGGAGAAAAATTCGCACCTATTTTCACTTAGATTATTAGCTATACTATGAAATTAGCAGAATCTAAAGAAGGTATCTCCTATGATAAAGAAAAGAAAGAATTTTCTCTTGACACTGATTCTGAGGATGAAAATCAATAAGGACCTATGAGAGTTAAAGTTACCTAAATGGATGAAAAAGCAGCTGCTATTCATGCTTTAGGTTAATTTGCACTCTCAGTCCCATAATAATTTGGATAATATTTTAAACCCACTTTTGACATTCTTGATGAAACTGTAGATTTCTTCTATGATAATATCAGAATGTAAACTATATAATGTTACAGAGATCTTATTGAAGGATATGCTCTATTTAGACATAATGGAGTCTTACCTAAAGTTTAATAAGGATTACCAGCAATAGAAAATTTAGATGCTGAGTTCTTAACATTCTTATAAACTGATGTCATGTAAAAATTAATTAGAGTTATTGCTGAAGATGAATCTTATGAATGTGCTGCACTTGCTATTGATGTTATTGATCATCTCACCAAAAAATTAGGACCCTAAATTGTTTACAAAAATCTTGATGATTTATCTAAAGTTATTACCTTGATCTTAAATAAAAAAATCAAATGTTTAGGAGCTGATCTTGATTCTGAAGGAGAAGAAGAAAATGATTAAGATATGAATCTTAATGTCTTAGAAAATCTCACTGACTTAATCCCTACTTTAGCCAAAAACCTTAAAAATGGATTTGTTCTCATGTTTAGAGAGATATTCCCACATTTAGCAACTTATCTTCATAAAGATAAAGAAATAGATGATATCATTTGTACTGTTGGATGTCTTGCTTAAATATTTGAATATGAACCTTCACTTATTTTAGAATGTCAATCAGTTGTGATTCCATTCTTGTTAAATACTATCCCTTCTATTGGAGATTAAGAATTAAATAGAAATGCTGCTTATGCATTAGCTACTTATTGTGAATTTGGACCATAAAATGATGTTGCTTCAGCTCTTCCTTAAATTATTTAATCACTTACAACCATTTTTACAACTGCTACTACTTACAGAGAAGCTGCTGAAAATGCTACTGCTGCTGTTTGTAGAATTCTTATTAGATTCCCATAAGCTTTGCCATTAGAAACCACCTTAGATCATATTATGACATAATTACCATTCAAAGGAGATGTTGAAGAAAATTTCACTGGATTAAGATTTTTAGTTCATTTAGGAAATACTATTCCTGAGCTCATTACACCAAGAATGGAATAAGTGATCAAATTGTTATTAGATTCTTTAATTTAAAAGGAACATTATAAAGTATCATTTTATCAATAATTTATAGCTTAAAGATGAATAATTAAACTTCATAGTATCTACTGTAAAGGGTTTGCTTTAAAATTAACAATACAAAACAATTATTGAAAATATTATTTTGAATGTTTAAGATCAGACTCAAAAGAACAAAGTGATTGCTCTTCTATAATGATGAAGATTTGTAAATGTATGTTAATAATCAATTAAATAATTCATTATTATACTCAACTATTCTTTAATTTCTATTTCTAGAAATCATATCTCCTTAATTTCTTCTCAGTCTAATATTTTTTTACTTTAATTTTTTATTTGAGACTTGTTATTGATCTAATTAATCCTCTTCAAACCAATGTTAATCATAAAGTTCCTCTTCCACAGGAACTTATGATATAAAATTATTTTTTGAATTGAGAAGTTATACTCTTTTGCCATACAGAATGCTTAATACAAGTTCTTTTTAATAACTTTTGAATGGTTTGAGTTATTTCATCTCATTTAACTTTAATAGTCTCTCTTATCTAAATTAATAATCTTATGGACCATTTAATGTAAGCATCATGGACTTATGAGGTTTAACGTGTTTATTAATCTACATGTATCCCAAAGTAACAAACATACTAACTAAATATTGATTATTGAAAATGTCTCCTTAATACTAAAGATAATATGCATATTAACTCTATCATATCTGAATAATCCTTTTTCAATTATATCAGCTTCGCTTTGAATGTCATAAAACTATTTCATTTCTGTCAAATCATGCAAAAATTTCAATGAATTGATAAACAAAAACCTTAATTTAAAAATTAAGTTTTATACCCTCTATATGTTTATTAAGTAACTTAGATTGTTTCCAATAACTAAAATGGATTAAAATAATATTTTGGTTCAGGTTTTGATATCATTTCTTCATATGTTAATTATTTTGGTGTATTAAATTAATCCAATCTTTTGTTATATAGAACTCTACCCACAGTATTAAAAAATGTTAGTTAAGAATCTTTGAATTAACTCTCTTCTCTATAATTAATTGAAAATATAAATGCTTAATTGTACGCATTTCTTAAATCTCCATTCGACAGTTCTGCTATCTTAGTCGATAAATCCTATTTACCTAATGTAAAACATTCGAATTTATTCTTGGAAAACAACCATGCAAATATTTTTCAATCTTAATGTTCGTTGGACTTATCAGCAAAATAACATTGCAATATATTTTTATAAATTCTTTACTTAGAATTTTAGTCAGTTCATAATCTTTTAATACTGTTGTATTTACAATTATTAATAATGGTTTATTGCATTTTGTGTATGTGTATTATTATTATAATTGTCTTAATTAATTCTAATTATTTATACCACTTATTTCTTTTAAAATTATAACTAACTATCAAACCCATTAATACCTCTTTAATTATCAATTTTTGCTAGTTAATCTTGCATTGAATACAATAATGGATGTATATTATTTAATATCCAAATGTCTCTAAATGATGAATCTACCTCCAAAATTTAGTACTTAAATTCTGATAAAATTTTTTTAACTAAGTGTAACCTAAAAATATCCAATCTATTACTTTCCTATTCCAGAAGTCCCTTTTATTATTGTTATTGGTTTTATTTAAAAGTTGCACAAACTATCTTTTATTTCCTTAATTTTTTTATCATTATGCATCAATAATTTACTAAAATTAATAAAATAATTAATATGGGATAATAATGTTGCCGAAATTCTGCAATCCCAGATTCAGAAGATAATAATAACAATCTTCCTGAAAAGTATTCAAATAGAAAACCATAAGAAACTACAGCAACCGCAAATAATAGCTAATCTTATCAAACAAGAATCAATGAATTAGAAAATAATGTTCAAACTTCTTTAGAAGTTATGAATAAATTAAATTTAACAATAAAAAATGTATTATTCATCATTAACAATAGTTAGCAGTCTAAATTGAAGAATTAAATAAATAATTAGAAGAAAAGTAGTAATTATAGTAGAATGATCACAAAGTTGAAAATTGAATTTTTTTTCATGTTATTTATACTCAAACTTAAATTTGTTTATCTTAAAATTACTACTAATTATTCATAAATTTTATTTGCTAATTTAAAGACTCTACTTAAAATGCATAATGTATTTTTGTAGTTTAAAACAAGTCAAAAATTAAAAATTAAATATCTTTTAGAGTCACAATTTTTGGATTATTGTTTATCGCTTTAGTCCTCAAAAAAGCTGACCTGACCTTCTAAAATCTATTAGGTTCTGTAAATTTTTTGTTAAATTTCATAATAATTAATTAATTGAGAATTTGGTCTTGAGCTTTAAAATGCAATAAATAAATTTTAAAATATAGCATATTGTTTGATTAGTTGTTTTTACTTCTTTCAAATGATTAAAATCATATCTTATTGTTTATGTATTAAAAATTTAATAATTGATGATTATATTTAATTCAAATAAAAAAGTTTAGAAAGATAATTCAATCATTCTTTTAGAAAGAATTTTATATATTTCAGTTATTCAAAACTATATCAAGCAGCTACAAAAAATTAATACTATGTTACTGTAAATAAAGCTTAATATTTTTCGAAATTCTTTATTTTTTTAGAAATTTTCTCAAAATTATATAAACTAACAGGAAGATAATTAATCAGAATATTAATGTTTGAATTATTAAATAATAAGTAACATAAATTCTCATATTTGTGTTCTTTCAGACTCCAAGACATTAATTTCAACTCTCTTGTACATGCTTAAATGTGCTTTTATCTTAATAGGCTGTTTTTCTACTATTTACTTTTATAAACCGGATTATTCACTTTGATAATTAATAGTTGAAATAGAATTTTTGCTCGAGAATGTATTCACAAATAACCTTTTTGCCAANAATAACAATCTTCCTGAAAAGTATTCAAATAGAAAACCATAAGAAACTACAGCAACCGCAAATAATAGCTAATCTTATCAAACAAGAATCAATGAATTAGAAAATAATGTTCAAACTTCTTTAGAAGTTATGAATAAATTAAATTTAACAATAAAAAATGTATTATTCATCATTAACAATAGTTAGCAGTCTAAATTGAAGAATTAAATAAATAATTAGAAGAAAAGTAGTAATTATAGTAGAATGATCACAAAGTTGAAAATTGAATTTTTTTTCATGTTATTTATACTCAAACTTAAATTTGTTTATCTTAAAATTACTACTAATTATTCATAAATTTTATTTGCTAATTTAAAGACTCTACTTAAAATGCATAATGTATTTTTGTAGTTTAAAACAAGTCAAAAATTAAAAATTAAATATCTTTTAGAGTCACAATTTTTGGATTATTGTTTATCGCTTTAGTCCTCAAAAAAGCTGACCTGACCTTCTAAAATCTATTAGGTTCTGTAAATTTTTTGTTAAATTTCATAATAATTAATTAATTGAGAATTTGGTCTTGAGCTTTAAAATGCAATAAATAAATTTTAAAATATAGCATATTGTTTGATTAGTTGTTTTTACTTCTTTCAAATGATTAAAATCATATCTTATTGTTTATGTATTAAAAATTTAATAATTGATGATTATATTTAATTCAAATAAAAAAGTTTAGAAAGATAATTCAATCATTCTTTTAGAAAGAATTTTATATATTTCAGTTATTCAAAACTATATCAAGCAGCTACAAAAAATTAATACTATGTTACTGTAAATAAAGCTTAATATTTTTCGAAATTCTTTATTTTTTTAGAAATTTTCTCAAAATTATATAAACTAACAGGAAGATAATTAATCAGAATATTAATGTTTGAATTATTAAATAATAAGTAACATAAATTCTCATATTTGTGTTCTTTCAGACTCCAAGACATTAATTTCAACTCTCTTGTACATGCTTAAATGTGCTTTTATCTTAATAGGCTGTTTTTCTACTATTTACTTTTATAAACCGGATTATTCACTTTGATAATTAATAGTTGAAATAGAATTTTTGCTCGAGAATGTATTCACAAATAACCTTTTTGCCAATAATTATCTATAAATTTATCTTTCTTCTGGAGTTGAAGTACGATTCAATTAATCAATTTTTTTTAGAGGAGATTTAACTAAATTTTAGGAGAGTTAGCTCACTAATTCATGAGGATTAGATAAATTTTTTTTTTTGAGTTTTCCCCATGAATTTGAATAACCTAAAGTAAAAGGGGTTAAATCCTTAGATTCTTTAGGTTACTTTAGATCAAGATGTTAATTTGAGTTATTAGTTTCTAAATTTTTGCTATATTATATAAGTTATTTCTTAAAGCCTGGATTTGGATTAATTGCTAATCTCTTTTCTTTTACAAAATAAAAAGTTTTTTCATAGGTCCATTTATTAGTTTTCATAATATAAGCTATCACACATGCACTGGATCTTGAAATTCCTGCAGCACAATGTACCAAAACGGAACCATAATTTAACCCAGTCGATATTTCTTTGTTTATTTCCTCGAAATATTCTATTATTTGTGCTTTTTCTGTATCTTCAACTTTATAGATCTGACTTCATAATAAGTTTTACTTTATGAGAGATATTTAAAGTATTTTTGAAATTTACTATAATATTATTGGCCACTGTTATGACTGTTTGGATGTTATTTTCTTTTAATTATTTAATATTTTGAGCTGCCTTTAGATTGCCTAGCCAAAGAGCTCCTTAGGTTGAAGACTTATCCAAAATCAAATCCATCTCATTCACATTTGCTAATAACTATTATTTTTTCATTTCCTTTTTTATATGTGTTAAGAATAAAAATATTAATTGTAATTATAATAAATCAGAATTATGATGATAAACTCAGTTAATTTTATCATCTTCTTCCTTTATTTCTTATATTTTGGTCTAAATCCCACGCATTTAATAATTCTATATATTACAATAGATTAAATTACTTATATCATTAATGCCAATTGCATATTAACTAATTTTTGTTTTTCTAATTCCCTTTGACAAATTGCTAATGCAATTTATTAATTTTATTCTTCTTAATTAATAATTGGCTATGCTTAATTTTTTTATCTTGACAACATTAAGGATTACTATTTTAAAATACTTTTTGTTATTAGTTTATCAGATGTCTATATTAGTTTAAATTTAATACTTTTAAATCTGGAGAAAAACTTCTTTAAGGAATTTATACTTCTCTTTCAAGATCATACATTGATTATACTTTTCTTAAACTGCAAACACTAAATTCAGGTTCATCTTTCTCCTTTTTATTTCTCTCTCTTGTCTTCTTTTTACCAATTCGTCCTTCCTTTCTATAAGTTTATAAAATTGCTTTGGCAGTACTAAAATTCACTCCAAATTCTTTAGCTGCTTCTTTAATTGTAGATTCTTTTGATAAAATTTTTTTTAACAATAACACTCTTTATGATTAGTCAATAACTGCATATTATTTTTTAAAGGAATCTTTTTACTTTTGATTAGAGTCATTTTACTGTTGTTTATGTCTGTAATATAAATAAAATAATTAACTGAGAATTAGGAGAGAACTAATCTTCATTTTCTGAAGGTATCATGAAATTAATATTAAAAAAAGATAAAATTAATGCAAAAATACTTTTGTAATCGTTTTATGTAATTAAGAGAATAATATGTTTTTATTAAAATTATAGAGTAAATTATGGATTATCAGTTCCTTAAAGAGTCAATATTATTATTTCATTAATTTCAATCAAAGATTGAATAATTATGATTTAATTTTGAACAATCTTGGAATCAAGATAAATTATTAGTATTATACAATTTATTAATACATACAATATTCATTAATCTATAATCTTATTTAATTCTTATTAACTCTATTTTTCTTAAACTCTTTTATTTTTCCATTTAGATACTAAATCTTAACCCTATAAAAATTCTAATTTATTATTCTAAATAGATAAAGAATATTTACAAACTATTCTTATTTTTACTATTCATTTTGTATCTCAATCTCATATTATTATTATAATTACTACTATTGTTACATCCAAAAATGAGATGATAGTATAGGACTCTTGTATGGAGATTGAGCAATGAATTGTGAATTGTATAAATAGAGTGGAGTATACACCATAGGTGTTTATTAAATCTATTATTGAAAAGGTGATAATTATTAAAATGGATATTGAGGTTGTTTTATACCAAATCCTAATCTATTAACTTGACAAGGAGTTTGTTAAAATAAATCATTGTATACATCATTTGTATATGGTCTAAATCCAGTATATTAAGGTATTGGGTCTTTTATAGAAGTTTAACCAATTTATGATGGTGATTAAAGTGAGCATTTTGATTATTATTAAATTTACAATTAAGACTAAATTTATTATTAGGATTTGCACTCAAATTCTTAATTTAATATAGATCCTTGAGAATGAGAACTAGAGATACCTTTTCTATTATCTTAACTTGAAGTATCACAATTTCCATAAGTAGATAAACAAAACTATTAATTGAGTTAATGGATTGATTATTATAATTTTTCATCAATTTCTTATTTGACAGCCAAATTCTCAATAACTTTAACTTTTTTCTTTTTAATTTGAACTTACTACTCTTATTGATCTTAAACTTTGATTTATGATTTTTTTTTTAATTTTTATAAATTGCTATTAGATTATGAATCTTCATATTTTATTTTGGATTCTTTTTTTGTAGATTTGGATAATGAATTGTTTTAATTGTCAATAGCAGAAACCTATTTATTTAAATATTATCTAATAGCTGTCAATTCTTCAATATCATCATCATCTTCTTCTTTATAAATTTTATGTATAAGACTTTTAAATCTAAATATAATTGAAGTTGATTAATACCTATTTTTAACTTAATTTTCGGTTCTCCCTTCCAATAATGATGAAATCATGGACCATCTTTTACCATTATTAAGAACTAATTATAATAATTAATTATCTTCCTAATCAGTCCAACTAGATCTAATTATAATCTTAAATATCAAGTTTACTTATTTAATTTAGGATTTAAATAATTCATCCATCTTTCTCTGACCTGTTTTGGTGTTCTAACATATTATCCATTATTATGATTGTAAAGTTCTAAAGCTATTTGAGTCCAAATATGCTTTTACTCTTATTATCTAAAATGATTAAATTTAAGCTAATAATAACATACATCATCAAAGATCTTATTATATCATCCTCTTCTGTTTCCCAATTTAAACTTTTTGCCATTGGGTTTATTAAAGTAATCCAACGTTATTTCAATGTCACTTCATCAAAATTAAAAATTTATGTTAACTCAATCCATTCATCTTAGTTGGGATTGATAGTTTTTTTATCTTTCATTTAGAAGTATTTCACGATAACCCATATAAATAACATCTTACATTGTTTATCCCATTTCCTTTTCAATCCTTTATTGTCTTCTGATAAGAGTCTTTTAAATGTTATGAATTACTTTTAAGCAATTTGATCGAAATACTTGCTATTAGGATTAATAAAGTTTTCCTTTATTTTGAACTAATTCTTATAATAAAAAGGAATCTCTATCTATTTTATTTAGCCTAAGTTAACCAAGAACTCTTGAAAATTAACCATTAACAATATTGTCACTAAATCTTGAATTTATATTATTTAATTCATCATCACATCAGTTAGTTGTAACTCTATTCACTTAAATATAACTATATAATATCATTAATCATCTTCTTCAATTACAACGAACATTCAAACTCTTGCTATTTTCCAGTTCTTTTTAGTTTCTTCATCAACTGAAATATGAATTAAATGAATCATCAGGCTTTCAATCTATAGTCAACTGGTTGAGAAAACCTTTATTCATAAGTCCACTCTTTCTAATTAAAAAATATTAAAAAGCAATTATCTTTTTACCTTCCAATTCCTATTGGAGAGTATTTAATTTTTAAGGCTTTTCATAAATTATATCCATTACATCTAAAATAATCTATCACTTACTCATTTTTCAACCTAGAAATATAGATAAACAAAATGTTAAATTAATTTCTCTTTCAACGAAATTATCATTGTAAAGATTAATATTATTGCATATATCTTTGTATTCATCCAAAAACATAAATAGCGCTTCTCCTGGTTTGACTTTTTTTTATGAATTATTTGTATAAACATAATCAATTGCTTATTTGTATTTTTCACATACAACATCACATTAATCTATAAAATATCTGTTTCTCCATTCTTCTTTTTAATGAGAATCAAATTAAGACATATATGGTAAACAATAAACTAATATCATACAAGTAGACTAATCATATGATGAAGAACCAGTCTAATATCTGTTATATATATCTTCAGTTAATCACACTAAAATTCCATCATCTAATATCCAACTAGATATCTCTCTGGATACAATAGTAACCTTTCCAATCAGATTATGATGCACAACAACTAGCTATAAATTTTAAATAGTTTTATTTGTGCTAATCTATTTATTAACATTAATTCAAAAATTCTTAAAAGGGATTTTAATTTATAGAGAACACATCACCACTTGGATTTATGATTCAGTAATATTTATAAGTCTCTCTTATTGATTTATAAGATTGCAAAGATTTATTCATATTCTTCTACTTTCTTAATGAATTTAGTTATTGCATTCTGCAGAACTAATTTTTGCTTTTAAAAAAGATCAAAACTTTTTTTTTTGATTTATTCATTAACAAAAAATTCTAAATATATGTTAATAATTAGTACTTCTAATTTGATAGGAATAAACGGATGACTAGATAAATAGAGCGTACTTTTTATGAAATATATTTTATTTAATCAAGTAATATTATTTTTTATGATATTATTAACCCTAATTAATGTTCTATTTATAGCATCAATTTTAAGCTACAATTTATTAGAATAACTATCTTAGATAATAATTGCTAATTTAATTAATATATTGCCTATAATGGCTAAAATCTTACGAAATCCTAAAACTGATTTCTTATTCAATTTCAATCTCTCTCAAAACATTTACCAAGCAATTCTTCAGTATCAAATTTATATTTCCATATAGATATAAGAAATGATCATGCTCGCTTCAATCTCTTCAACTTAACTGGAACATAAATAGGATCACTAGTTCTTGGTTTGAAATTGTTATCCAGATCCCAATCCTATATTATGGTATTACTTTATTTACAATTTATTGATTTGTTTCATCTAATAATACATCTAGAACTTAATCAGCTGTTTTTTATTTTTCAATGTGTATTTTTATTGGTTCTGCTATTTACAACTAATTTCTGGTGTAAAAATAATCTCATTCGCCTATTGGTACCATTCAGTTTATAAAAAAAATACCAATCTCTACCATTCTACCATTTTCATCTGGCTTCTCTAAAAATATTGCTTCATATCCTTCAAAATCCAAATGTATATATATCAGCTCATCTGATGCATTTCTTATCTTATCAAATTGTAAATTTTGTGAATCTACATCAATTCTTTTATTTATTCCTTTAATCATGTCAAATTTAAATTTTTCATAATTTTTGTTGTATATCCTATGAAAATGATTAAGTATCAGCTAAACTGAATTAATTTGCAAATAAATCTTAATGAATCATATCTTTATTTATTTCAAAGAATTATTTAAGAATAAAAGTTAAATTTCATCCACCACATCTTAATAAATTATTAGACAAATCTACATATTCTTATTATCAACTAATTTTCTAAAAAGTTCAGCACCTTCGCTTCCTTTGATTAAATTCAAATGAAGATATAGTGAGGATCTTTTTATACTCATGTGTTCAATTATCCTAAAGAATCCTTTAGTTTCAATCATTTATTTAATGAAAGTTTATGAAATATTAACAATTTGATTTTTTGATTCATTATAATTTTAGAGCATTATTTTTTTACATGGTTTTAAAGAGTTCTTAAGCTAAAAGATCATCTAATTGATTATCTTTCAAATTATAGATTTATATTCTTTGTGTTCATTAATATATTATTACTCGATAATTTTTAATTGAAGTACATTTAGCACTGATTCTAATCCTTTTCTTCTAATTATGGTTGATGGAAATGATCTTAATAATTCTAATTTAATCATAAGATTAGTCTAGACAGAGTCTATATAAATTAGGATCTATTTTACTCTATATTGCAAAAATCTTATTCTACTATTTAATTCTTATCATCTTTTTACTTCAATTCCTTTGTCTTTTTCAAACTTTATTAGTTTCTCAACTTAAGATTAAATTCTGAAATACTATATCTGTTATATCTTTTATTTAATTCCTGAAATGATTCTCCTAATTTACCATTTATTGAGAAACAAACTAATTTACAGTTAGACATTAATTATTGTAAAAAAGTAGGTTTGAATCAGAACTAAGAAGTTGTTTTTTCATTTTTTATTTATCATTTTCTAAATTCATTTTATAATTATTAAAAACTCATAATAAATTAAGATAATCATATTTTGCTTCAATTATCTTTACTATTTTTTAATGAATATTAATTGCTTGTTCCATCAAACTCTCTTCTAATTTAATCATATAATAGATTGGCACATTAATATATTATTCTTTTAAGTTATATTACTATTTTTCATTCATTTTTTACTCATAATTTATATCATCTGATATATAAAGTTCATTAAAATAAGAATCTGTTTATTTTTTATCTGTTTTTAGTAATTTTTTTCTCTTTTTTATTTCTTTTTCTACTTCTTTTAATTACTTTTCTATTGTTTTATCTTCCTAAGACACATATTTCTAATGATTATCTGATTAAAATTATTTTTTCTGTTTAAGTTCATAATTTGGATCTTCAACTTCATAAAATTACTCAAATTTTCCATTAAATTTTGGCACACTTTCTAGTTTTTGTGATGATACTTCAAAACCATTTGATTATTGATTATTCCTTTTGTAAAAATGTAACCATTATTTTATCAATATAGGCAATACTTAGGTTTTTTCAGCTACTTATTTTATTGCTTCTTCAGTTGGATCTTCTCCTAATTAGGATAATATATATTCTTTTATGTTAGGATTGTTTTTATCCATTATCTAATTAGATTATTATTTATTGAATATGCTTCATTAATTGAATCCAAAACATTTCCATACAAACATTTAAATAATATCAAAACTACTTATATTATTTTGAGTTTAATTAAAATTAATTAATCAATTTAATATTTATATAGACAAATTAATTAGATACATATAAAATTAGAAAATTTCACATGCTTATAGTCTCCTGATCAAGTGGCTCAAAGAATTTATATTTATATTCTTCTTTTCCTTATGAACATTCTATAATAAGATACTCTACTTTATCATGAAATCGAACTGATTTTTTCCTTTTTTGTTGTTAATTCTCTGATTCTTAAATTATTCTCTCTGTTGACATTGTAGGCAATTATGATATAGATCTTTTTTCTTTACTCTAATTTTTTAATTTAGAAATTAGTTTATGTAATGGGATAGAATTTTAATCATATTTAGTGATTGATGATAAATTCATCACTTTTGTTATAATTTAATTTCCTTTTTACCCACTTTTAGTTGGCATCTTTTAAAAACTACTTGATAAATATGATTTTAGTGAAGGATTGTGATACCTATTTGAATTCATTATGACATAATTAATTTAACTATTAGAGTGATTCAATTGTTAACCATTCTTTTAATTCTTAATAGGACTTTATATAAAGTTATTTTTAGTAGGACTCAAAATTTAGTTAGATTGATTTTTTTGTAATGGATTATTAGAAGGCGTCCTAAGTAAATTTTACATTATCTTTTCAGAATTTATCATGCTTTAGACCTTTGGTATGTAGATTTGATTATTCTTAATTTCATTTTTGTAATTGGAGTTAGGCCTTATCACTTGGCTTTTTTTCATTAATTTTATATAAATTTCATTTATATTAAAAATTTAGTTAAAATAGTTATTTTTGTTAAATTAAACCCTAATTAAAATTATTTATATTAATTAATTAATCAAGCAATAGTTGATTCTGAACATTAACCCAGATAAATTGAGGGTTTACTCATTATTATCTCTTCGCAAAAATATGAATCATGTCCAAAAGAATCTATTTGAAATTATTACATATTCTTACAAAAATGATGATAAATATAGAAATAATGAAAAGTTTCTCTTATTTTAGCTTTATAAATATTCCAGAATAGATGCAATGTATCTACAGATATAGTGCATTAAGTAACATTTGCTAAAAACTTTAGTAAATTCTTAATTTTCATAACTCCAAAAATAACCTCAATCGAATTATCATCCAAAGAAGTACTAAATTAGAGATAAAAATTAAAATACTTTTTCATATCTAATTCAAAATATTATAAATTTTCTAGATTTAAAAGTGATTCAATTAATTCTTTTAATAGAATGGTGTTCAAATTAGAGCTACAAAAATTTATTGAAAGTATTTTGAGATGCTTTGAAAATGATAATTACAAGCATAGTTTTTACCACAAGTTTTAGTTCAATTTGTATTCGGTTGCATTCAAATATAGTTCTTAGTGTTGATCATCAATTTCTTAATTTCGAATAATCATTTTTTCTAAAAAATTGAAAACTATAGTCTGATGGTCAGAATTCAATATTTGATTTTAAATTTATAAATAATGATTTAAACTAAGTGGTTTATTGATAATATGATAAAGGTTCTGTTTTTCCTTAAAATTATTGTTTTTGTTACATGAATTTAAAATTTAATAATTTTTTATAAGACCTCCACTTCTTGTTCTTATCTTTAGAGTTATTTGATGTGTTTATCATTTAAAATTTTTAATTTCTAATCTTGTATAGGTACATGATAAGTTAGAGTGTGTTGATAATGTTATGAAAGTAAACAAGTTTCACAAAGTGGAAGATGACAATCTAAACAAAAATATTAAAGTAGGGATGAATGTAGAAAACAAGTAGTTTATTATGAATTCATATAAAAATTAATTAAATCTTGATGTAATAAGAATTAAAGTTTAGAATCCTAATTTGAAAAGTTGTCAATAACCAAAAACTGAACAATAGTTAAAATAAGAAAACCTAGATAATATTCATGTTAGATTGAAATTGAATCAATTTCTTTCATATTCAAAATATACATGATGTTTTAGTAAATTTAATAATTTAATGTAAAAGTTGAATGATAAACAGAAAGGTAACCCTCTAGTAAAGAAGGATGCAAGTCGAGATGAAGAGATAGAAAATGATGGCAAAGTTCGTAAAGTGAGAAGTCCTTCAAGTGTTGCTGATCTGAATGATTTGAGATCTAATAGAAGCCAACTTAGTGGAAAGAGTGCAAAAAGTTCAAAAAGCCCAAAATTTGGGATTAATTAGAGCGGAAATGAAGAGTAAAGAAAAAAACCTCCTCGGATATTGAATAGCACAATAATGGCTAGACTATCGAGATTACAAAACATAAAATAAACACCTGCATATTAGAAAATGATTGCTCAATTAATTGAAGGATGGACATTCTCAATAATTATGGCTATAGTGACTCTTTATGCTTTATTTGGAGATGATATAAGAATCTTATCTGTAGATAAAACAGAAGATGACATCTTTTTTATTCTAACTATAATAAGTATGTCTTTTTTCTCACTTGAAATAATATTGACATCTATAATAAATCCAAACTATATTTTGAATGTATGTAGTTAGTTCCTATAGTTTATATTAGTTTTACTTTTTTTTGGATGTAATTTCGACTGCAACAATGATTTTAGATATTGGGTGGATAACAGATTTATGGTATGGGGAAGAAGGTGACATAGGAAATGCTACAACAATTAAAGCATTAGGAAGGGCTTCGAGAGTAGCTAGAAAAGCAGCAAGAGTGATTCGTATAATTCGTTTAGTAAGATTGGTTAAATTATATAAACATGCAAGATAACAATATGAAAAAGATTAATAAAAAAAAATTATACTTTAATAGATTCTAAATTAAAATAAATTAGCAAATGAAGAAATTTTAAAATAGTAATAATAGTAATAAATTAATGGCAATATCAATTAACAACAATAATTAATTTAGAAAAACTATTCCTATCCATCTCCACCACCATCAGGTAGGTAACATTTTAAATCTAATGATGATGGATAAGATCTTTATGAACAACAACAAAAATTAATGAATGAATCTAAATAACCTTACATTGGATAAATTCAATAATAACAAATACCATAAAATAATTAGATAGTAGCTTCATAAATGTCTGCTTCATAAAATCAATAATAAAATAATTTCTAAGTTACAATAAATGAATAATAAAAGTCAAGTTAAATATCTTTGATGAGTACTGATAACGTGAAAGAAACTAATGTTGGCACCAAATTATCAGATTTAGTAATGAGGAGAGTTATAACAATAATTGTATCAATATTAATCAGTATACCAGTTTTATCTCTAGACACTTATCAAGAAACCATAAATTCTTATGATTCAGGTATCTTTAGAATTGCATAGTTTAAGAATAATTATAATATAGTTGAGAGTCTCACTTAATAGTATGTAGGATTTCATTAGGAAGAGATTTATCCAATTCTTGCTGTTTTTGTTTAAAGATAAAATGTAAGTGAGAATTCTCCAAAATTTAATGATTCTAATTTTGTTATATTCAATTATTCTAAAAAATAAGATTGGTTTAAAGAAACTAGTAATACTTTAGATGAATATAGATAATCAGATAGGTAATATTATGCTTCAGTGGATGCAAATGATATATTAGTAACGTGTTCAGTAGCAGATTTAGTTGAATATAATAAAACAAATGCTATTTTGTCAATTTTTTAGACTATTTTTGTTTGTATAGTTTTAGCAGCAAGTGCAGTTTTATTTAATAAGGATGTAAATGAATTAGTGATTGAACCGATAGAAAGGATGATGGAGAAAATAGAATTGATAGCTTAAAATCCTTTAGAAGCAGTATACATTGAAGAATAAGAAGATTTAATAATGGAGTAATTAGAAAAAGATGAAGATGATGAAATGATTAAATAGAAATATATTGAAAAGAAAATGGAAACTTATATGCTGTAAAGATTAATAATGAAAGTTGGAGCATTATTAGCAGTAGGGTTTGGAGAAGCAGGATCTGAGATAATAGCTGAGAATATAAAAAAAGGAGGCAGTGTAGATCCAATGTTACCTGGTAAAAAGATTATGGCTATTTTTGGATTTTGTGATATTAGAAATTTTACTGATGCAACAGAAGTACTTTAATAAGATGTTATGGTATTTGTAAATGAGATTGCAGAAATAGTTCATTCTACAGTTGATAGTTATGGAGGATCTGCGAATAAAAATATTGGAGATGCCTTTCTTTTAGTTTGGAAATATTTTCCAATGGAATATCATCCAGATCCTGAGAATTAATCCAAATTAATACTTAGAAATGATCATCAAATTAAATAAAAAGGTGATATGGCTGTGTTATCATTTTTAAAAATAATAACTGCAATTTCAATTTCTAAGAAATTAGAAAAGTATAAGAAACATGCTGGATTGAATGCAAGAATGAAAGATTATTCTGTAAAAATGGGTTTTGGATTACATATGGGATGGGGTATTGAAGGTGCTATTGGTTCTTCTTTTAAGATTGATGCATCTTATTTAAGTCCTAATGTTAATTTAGCATCAAGGTTAGAGGCTGCTACTAAATAGTTTGGTTCTATTATACTTATAAGTGGAATATTAAAATAACATCTTACTGAATAATGTTAAAAATAATTAAGACTTATTGATATAGTTACTGTTAAAGGTAGTATTGAACCAGTAGAAATTCATACCATAGATATGTCAATTAAGAATCTCTTAGCTAAAACCAAAGAGTTACATGATAAATTTGATATTAGTAAAATGGATTAATAAGAATAAAAGCAATTTAGAGTACTTAACAGGATTAAAAGAAATTAACTTTAAAAGGATGTATCTAAGGAAAAAATCAATGTCGCAGATCAATTTAACACTGATGAAGAAATCATTCTTGCTAGAGAACCTTATACTAAAGTAAATTCTTATATATCTATTCTATTAGGAATTTTATAATACTTGGCAAGATGCATTCCAATATTATATCAAAGGTTAATGGGAACTTGCCTAATCTCTTTTTTCCAAAACTTTAGTATCTATTACTTTCTAACTATTTAGTAAATGATTCCTGATCATAAAGATGGTCCATCTAATACACTTCTTGAAGTAATCCATTCTAATACAGGAAAAGCTCCACATGATTGGAAAGGATACAGAGAACTTACAGAAAAATGAAATTCTTATCAAATCACAATTATTACTCATAATTCAATCTCTATCATTTATTATGTCTAAATTTACCTTTTATCTCATTTTCATTAATCCATTATTCACCACTTCTTTATTAATTAATTTATGATTTCTCAAGCATACTTAAGATAAGAAACCAAAAAGCAAAGTCTCATATCTAGACTATCCTCTAAACATTATAATTTTCAACCAGATATTATACAAACTCCCTTATCAAATTAATTCCATAATCCTCCTAAAGTTATAGATATTCTCAATTTTCATGAAATTACTAATCATGAACATCCAGTAGAACTATTCACTTCTAGGACTGAATTATAAAGAAAAGAACTTATTAAAGAGATATTTCGATAGGAAAAAAAGTGATTTACCAGATAATAACAATTTACTCATCGATATATATAAAGAATAGAAGATAATCCATATAATTAACAAATGCAGATTATTCACCAACAATTAGTCCTGGAAAGAAGATAGTTTAATTCAATAAATAAATTTAAATAAAGATGATTGATCCAAATGAAGAAAAGCCAAAATCAAGTTAAAAGTCTTTTAGAAGATTATACAAAATGACAGATCTACTAAATAAATAATGAAATTTCATTTTATCAATAAAACACATAGTTTTATACCTTTCAATCTACTAGAAAATGATCAATAAATTTTTGAATAGCTTTAAGTCTGTGAGATATTTAATTCTTCACTTCCTTATCCATTTCCGCATATCTTAAATATTGATGTTTATTACGTTTCAGTAAATCCATCAGGTTAAAAGATTGGATCCCATCCAAAATTTCTAGGTCCTCTTGGTCTTACAATAACTCCTGGAGTTTATCCTACAAATAATAAAGGTTCTTTTAATTCTGGTCCCATATATGATAAAATGCATTAAGCATAACCTGTCTTATCTTCAAAACCATCTAACATTTTACTCAATCCCTCTGGTCCTGTCGCTTCCAAAAACCATTTTCTATTAAAAAATTATAATCTATTTATTTACACATAAGGACCAGGCATTCCATTAAGAGCATTAAAACATAATGAAGTATCCTCTGTAACACATGCTTTTCCTAATTTCTCATAGGCTAATAAAGCTTTTTCCTTTGCTATTTAAAGTGGTGGACCTTATAACTCAGGCACTAATATATAAGAATAAGTAATTACAATCTACAGGTTCTGAGTCAATATTAAATCTATCCCCCATAATTTAAATAAATTCCTTCAGTTTATTTTTCTTGATTATTAAAATATTTTTACATTTCCTGTGCATAGAGTAATGGTGCATTTTTTTTAAGCTATTTTTGAATATAAAAAGATTACCTTCCTCATTTTAATTTTAATTCATTATTTAAATATTTTAAGGATGAATAATAATGACATTATATATTAGTAGTAATAAGAACAAAAGGAGAAAAAACCATCATTTTTTGAATAATTGTGTTCATGCATATACTTCTTTCGAAAAAAAAATGTTATGGCTAATGAAAAATATTAATTAGGAATTGATACTCCCAAATCTCATGTAAGTTGAGTAAAATTAAATATGAGACTAGAAAAATCTGTGTTTTAGATTTAGATGAAACTTTAGTGCATAGTTAATTTAAAGGAGAAAATGGTTATGATTTTTTACTTGATGTAATAATCAAAAAATATGTTAGATAATCGTTTAAAGTTAATTATTCAAAGTATTTGTTACAGTTAGACCAGGAGTTGAAGCCTTTTTAGAATCCCTAAGTGAATATTTTGAGATTGTATTATGGACAGCTAGTTTAAAAGAGTATGCAGATCCAGTTATGGATATTATTGATCCATAAAGAAGGATTCAAACAAGACTTTATAGAGAAAGTTGTACTTAAGTTAAAGGAGGACTTACCAAAAACCTGAATAAATTAGGAAGAAATTTGAAAGACGTAATTATAATAGATGTATTAAAATTGATTTATTAGAATTCCTAAATGTCATTTATGTTTTAAACAGAAAATGGATTTTTAATCAAAGATTTTATTTCGGATTAAAATGATAAAGAATTAGATTAATTGTTACCATTTTTAATTTGGCTTAGTTAAGTAAATTATTTTTGTATTAAGTAATCTGATGTTAGACCTGTTTCTTAATTATATTAGTAATTTATACTCAACAATTAATTTACCAGAAAAAGTTCAAAAAAATAAAAACTTTCCTAATCTATGATTTTAAATTAAAATAGAATAGAAAAATAACTTGAAGTTCCTAGAACTCATACAGTTAATCATTGTGATTTTGAGGAAATTAATTTGAGATAAGATGCTGGTCTTAATTCCCCTCATATTGAACTTAAAATTTAAGATTAAACAGATGATGATGATGAAAGTAAAGAGACATTTGAAATCAGTAGCAATTGTTGATTTTATTAATTTTTTATATATTCACTCATTTAATTCTTTTATTTATGTTCTTATTTGTTAATAGAATTCATGATTTTTTGATAAAGCATAAGAAATATAAAATAGCAATTTTTATTTTTTTAGATTTAATGTTTTTATCAACTTTTTGGTTTCAACAAAGTCATTATTATCTTCATTTAATGCTTAATGTTCAATGGAATGAATTGCATCATAAGCATGAAATAAGATTTCTACAACAAAAAATTTATTAGAGAATATTTTAATTAAGTCTTCTCTATTAATATAAGGTAGAATTAATCCTTTATCTACTTTATGAGCATGTTCTTTCAACTTTTTATAGGATAAATCTAAATTTCCAATTAAAGAAGTATTATCATCCATTGTATAACTGAGAATAGTAAACATGTTATAAAATTCTCTATTTAATTCAATAATATCTCCATCTAACACTTTTGCAATAATTGAAATAGAAGCACTATATTAAGATAACCTATAAAATTACATGACATTAAATAGATGATTTCTTAAATCTTCATGTTAGACTTTGCATAATTTATTAAATGGCACAACACTCTAAATTTTTTACTTTAGAGTAGATCTAAAATCAAGGTAAGGATTTTAATTAATTTCTTTATTTGTCTTTTTGTTCTAATCTTATTCTTCTACATACAATGAAAATACTCCCTATAATTTTAATTAATCCTTACATCATTAACTTCCCACCAAGGAACCCAAGGTTCTTATATCACCATTTCTTAAATAAATTTTGCAAACTCTTATTATTCAGCTAATGTCAATTAATCTAAATTTAATTTCCCTTAATCACATAGTTATTATAATTCTTCCCATCTTTCATTTATTTCTTCCTCATTCATTGGAACAATATTTTCATCTTTAGACTTTATTAAATTTTTAATTTACTTCCTCATAGAATTGATTTAGAGCTTTTTTCATTTCAATTTACTCTTCAAAAGATGCCTTCAATCCTTTCATTTTAGATATTTCATGTTCCTTTTAAAATGACTATGTGCATGTTTCACTATGAGTTTTATAACAATCCAATGAACATTGCATTTTATTACATTTGGGGCATGAGTATTTGGCCATTTATTTTTAACAACTAAAGTTTTTAATTCATTAAGATACAAATCACATAACTATTGGACTCGTTTAAATTAAGGTACTAACAATTTTGATTTCTATGTTAATATTAGAAGTTCATCTAATTCATTATTTTCCTTCTATTTCATAAATTTAATTTATGGATTAAATTAAAGTTAAGCATTCTCCTGTTAATCAATTCTAAATATCAGATAAAGAAGTATAAGTTACTTATTAATTAAGTTCCCACTCTCATTGTAATTTATTAATGATACAGTTTTGATGGCAATGACTGATTTTTCATTAAAATGGGTTGATTTAAATACATAATAAGTTATTTGGGAACAAAAAAACCATCATCAAAAAAGAATTTAATAATTGATAGTTGAAAATAATGTTGCATTTACTTGTTCTAATGATAGAACAATTAAAATGTTTGATTTACAATCTAAATAATAAATTCATTAATTTAAGAACGAAAAAGAATTTTTTTCAATTGCAAAATCTAAACATATTTTAGCAGGTGGAAGTGATGGAAGAATTGATTTTTATGATCTTAATGTTAGGAAATGGAGATCCAGATTTGATTCATCTTAAAATGAAGAATTATCTTCATTAAATTTTCATCCTTAATGTTAAACATAACTTTTATCATCTTCAACTGATGGTTTATTAGTTTAATATGATTTGACATAAAAAAATGAAGAAGAATCATTATAAATGATGATTAGATTCGATTAACCACTTAATTCTTGTGGTTATTGGAACAATTTATGTTTTTGTGTTACAACCACAAATTAAATAACTATTTTAGATTAATAAAATGATTAAAAACTATATCAATTCTAAGCCATTAAAAATGTATTATTTTATATTTATTTTTAGGATGAATTTCATGAAGATTACTTGATTGATGTTATAGCTGACCATGAATTCAAATACTTTGTAGGAAACGGAAAGGAAATTTATTAGAAAAATGAAAAATAATAGATAGTTGCCTTATATGGAACTAATTCAACTGAATAAATAAGACATATTAAACAATTTAAAGATTGTTATTTATTATTTAGTGAAAATGGATTGCTTGAAATTTTAAAACCATAGGCCTACGTTTACTAAGCTTAATCAATAGAATAAGAAGCTTTAAACTTAATTGAAGAGGAAGAAGATGATAAAAAATAAAAAAAAAGATGATTACATTTAAAATTGATTTATA